ATGCCCTCGCTATCGCAAATTTACACCCGTAAAATGACTTTGTGGAGAATAGCGGCACTTTCTAGCGTGCAAATCATTAATAAAAGCTTCTAAACTAAAGTCCTCCAGCATGTTCCAGCAGGAATGTTATCCAGAATCAGGAATAATTTAACATCGGCAACCAAGATTCCGTGTTTCCTTGACGTTAACATGGGATGCATGTAACAGTGTAGGCTTAGTAATGTGCACACTTGCAGTAGTGTGCCTGGAACAGATGACCATTAAGAGAAATCTGTCACAATCTGGTGTCAGCTTGTCTTAATAGAAAACAAAAAAAACATTGTAAAAAGAGTATTCAGAGCAGTCTGAAGCCTGAGGTTTTTGTTTACAGGGCTTACTTTTATATACGTGCACCTCATTATTTGAAACTTTGGGCACATTTAACGTGGAATCCATTGAACCGCCATTGAGCTCTTAAAGAGAAACAGTTTGTGATGGTTTGTCTTATTGTGGCGCAAATATGCTTTGTTCTTTAAACATGTGATTGTGTTGTCAACGTGCTAATAGGCTAACTAGCATCATGACGGTCTTCTGGAGTCCCTTTTTGAATGACAAATACAGACTACTGCCATCTTCTGGCGTGAGGAATTATTTCCTCTTACACAGGCGCAAAATGTACATGCTGGTTGGCCGTGAGCTGTACTCTTTGCGGTTTGCTCACGTGCAACTTCTTGCCTGACGCAGGTGATGTGAGGCAATACAACAGTTGGCTTTCATTGCTGCTAATTCTGTGATGTCAGTTTGGTGTGTCTGGGCTGTGATACGTCATAGAGCAGGTAGTGATTAACATACAACTCGGTTGTTCCAATCAGCGCCAGTGTTTTACCATCTAGCTGCTTATGATTTTGGTATTGTGACTCTCAACGTTACGGTTTTGGTTCACTCTCAGTGCTATTTATAATACATTAGAGCAATGTTAACGTTGGGTTGGGTTAATATCCGGCTGCCCGCCAGGCTTGCGGGCTGCCTGCTAGGCTAAAACATCGCTCTCACTCACGGAGAAGAGTAGGAACGTTAGCGTTAGTGTTAGCACAAGCCGGGATCCGAGTTGGCTAGAGCCCACCAGGCTGCCCGCCTGGCTCGTGGGCTGCTCAAGCTCCGGACATTAACCCATCCCGGTGTTTCCTCTGCAGTCTCCACTTCACTCAGCTGCCCGATAAACCCGCTGCTTCTTCCCACTTTAACCTAAAGCGATGTTTTAGCCTAGTGGGCAGCCCATGAGCCAGCTGCCCTCTAGGCTAAAACATCGCTCTCACTCACGGAGAAGTGGAGGAACGTTAGCGTTAGCTCCCGGTGTTAGCACTAGCTGAGTCTGCTGCCACCGGCTAGTGGAGTAACTTACAGCTATGGAGCACTTCTGTCAGCTCTTGTAGTCACTGAGCCTCGCCTCCATCTCAGCAAATATATTACAAAATTGTAGCTTCGCAGGGAGGCTACATTTTACAATGCTAATTGAAAATGTTAGCTGGGTTGCCAGACTAACTTACTCACTTAACACAACCATAACGCCTGAACCATTGATGGGACCGAGCAGCTAATAACTCAAGCTCCAGACATTAACCCATCCCGGTGTTTCCTCCGCAGCCTCCACTTCACCCAGCTTCACTCAGCGGCCCGATAAACCCGCTGCTTCTTCCCACATTAACCTGAATAACAAACCAGGGCTCGTTCATTCACATGAACGTACATGAACGCGCAGCCGGACCGGCTTGTAAACAGTGGGCTGGAGATCAACACAGAGAGAGGGTGTGTGAGGTCATGCTATACTCCAGATGAAATTACACCTCTAGTTCTTCACATAGCAATCTTTTAATTCCTTCAATCTAGAAATGATGAATTTCGCTTATTGCTCCTTTAATGCAGGTTTAAAGAAATAATGTAGGGTGCTGTATTCAGCTGGGATTGGCTTCAGCTGTCTTGCGACCCTTTTTAAGGATAAGCAGGTTTAGCTAATGGAACGATGGATGGAAATAATATTGGCTATTTTTAAATATGCTGCTTTGCCCTGCCTGTTATTATTCAATAAATAGCCACATAACCATAAAGATTACACATAATCTTTAAAATCCTTAAAACCAAACCCATTCTTGTTTCAGTAAAATTGCAGCAGGTGATGAAATATTCATTATCAAGTAAAACAATGAAATATTCAGCACAACCTGCTGACAAGACTCAGGTTTTACTAGTTTTACTTGATGAATCTGAACAGATCTCCAGTCTTAGGTCAGAGTGAGCCCTGTGTGCCATCTCCTCATTAAAGGAACATGTTAAAATAAAGTGAGCTGGTTAGATAAGGAGCTACTGTACAGGTGACACATCACTGAGAAAAGCAAGGCCTTTTACTGTGTGCTGTCAGTCGTATGGAAAATCTTTCAGGATTTCTGTCATGATTTCTTGCAGGGTTAAATGTTTTACAATGATAAATCAATTATCTGTTATAGCACACCTTTAAACCCATCCTTGAGCCAGGTGCAATAGAAAAAGTGATGGAGAGACATCAGAACAAACTATCAGCTGATGAAGACAGTGTAATACAGTTGAAAGCCCCGGAAAAGGTTTGTAACTTGCCTGTCATTTGGGGTTGTTTTGTTATAAACAATTAACTCAGCAGTGAAATTTCTGTTCCATTAGAGGGATTTTTGTTGCCACCCACTGTAGATTATATTTTCCTAACTTATAAGTGACTAAAAACAGTTCCTTCCATTCAGTGAGTTTGTGTTTTAAACACTCCTCCTTTAACAGTTTTTGATGGAGATCCAGGTCTGTAATACACGTGACAACAGCCCTGAATCATGGCTACCTTCAGCCCTGCCAAACACTTCAGTGACTCCATCTTTACAAATGCATCTATGTTTGGACATTGGTCAAGACTCCGTCATTAACTGTAAATTAAAGTGCAGAGCTCAAAATTTCCTTAGATACTAACTATATCAGGTTGAATTTTAGGGAAATGTGATTTTAAAGAGAGCCAAAATATTTCCATGTGATGAAATGTTGCAGCTTTAAAGATAAAACATCAAGTATTGGCGTCACTGTCACTACTGTATCGTGCAGTATAAATGAAATGTAGCTTTTACAAGACCTCTGTTTTTTTGTTGTTGTTGTTGTTTTTTACCAATTTCTAAAGAAGTATGGCTACTATAGAGTTCTTTAATTTAATAGTGATGTGGCAGACATACTTGGCAACCATAGCAAAAACCCATAACAAAATGTAGTCAGAATGGTCCCCTGTATGATGGAATAAAGGGACAGTCTCCCAGGAAGCCACAGTCTCTCAACAATATAGAAATCTGAACCAATCCCTCCGAGTGTCTCCATTCTCCTGGATCAATCTCCAGACCTTCACTGACATCAAGGGAACTGTCTGCAACTTTTTAGTGTGCAGTGACATCTGCTGGTTGACAAAGGAACAGCTCCTCAGATCTATTCCAGCCTCCTTTCATGAAAAGCAATGCTGGTCCTAGTAACAACATTTAGCTGGAGTGACAGTGGAGAATTCATTTTATTTCCACATCTGAACTGGTCAGTTATTATTTTACGTAAAAAGGAAAGACACTGGGGCACTTGATTGCTTAGAGCAGGCATCCCATACACTTAGGCAGTGTCCTTGCCTCAGCGGCTGCAGCCCCCTGCTGGGTGTCATCCCCTCTGTCTCCTCCCTTCACGCTTAAACTATCCTATCTCATAAAGGCAAAAAGCCCCCAAAAAAGACACCGGCATAACCAATAATATTTCATTATGAGCTAAACAAGGTAATCCTCAGGACAAATATCACAGCTGAACCCCTACAGTACGTTTAAAGTGATTATATTAATAGGCTACCATAGGCTCTTTCTTATTATTCCACACTAAGCTCCTGGTGTGTGTATGTGTATGATGTTGTCTGATGTCTGATGTACTTATTATTTATTGTGTGCTGTGTAAGCTACATGCATCACGACAACCTGCTGCTCATAACTAATTGCCCCTTGTGGGATTAATAAAGTTGTTTGAACTGAACTGAAATGAACCCTGAGTAAGAATCAGTGCTGAAATGGAAGTTGATTACTTGAGTAGTCGATCAAAAGTAGATGCTAATCTTTTTAAAAATCTATTAATTACTGGGCAGATAGTACGAGGTATTTGAGAATTTAAGCCTTGGCTCTGAGAAAATTTTATAGACTAAATGAATATCGATGACAACATTATTTATAACATTCATTCTATGAATTATTCATCAACAATTCATAAAATCGTCAGTTGCAGCTTCTCTAAGAATGCAGTTCATTTATAACTTTTTCTGGAATCTCTGTAGAGTTAAAGGTACACCATGCAGGAATTATTAGTGACTGTAAACACAACATTCAAACACCTACCTCCATATTGTTCTTCATCCTGTCCTTCAGTGTTCGCAAGTGAAAGTGCAGTGAAAGCCAACCCTAGATTCACTCTTGGTTTTTAGCACTATGTCCTTGATTTTCATAGCTTCCTCTTTGATGCATGCTGATACCTGGTTGCCACCTTTTCATAAAGTCTTGACCTCACCTGTGCACTGTTATCGACTGGGTCTTACATGCCAAGAAATGTCCCAAACACTAAAGTAAGAAGAAAATTGGAATATACAGGGAGAGAGCAGAATCTCTGCAGATAAATACATTATCACACATTTCTAAAGGGTTGTAAGTCATCATTTAGAGGAATTACTTTTGCATGAGTCTGTACATTTAAAAAAAAAAAAAAAAAGTTCTGCATTGTATACCTTTAATGATTACTAAACCTCAGTAACCAAGCTTTTAGGGTTTCTTTCTGCTAATATCTTCACAACCAGTAACTTGTTTATTGATTTTTGCACGTGAAGTCAAGATAACACACATTTGATCTGGAAGACGAGGATATGACAATAATAGCCCAAATAACAAAATCAAAAGCTAATTTTCCAACATAAGCCCATGTTTCATTTTGACAAAAATTGACACCATGAATGGGGAGGTGTTCCAGGTTTATTTAAAGACATACTAAATAAATATAGCACCATTTCAGAGGAGAGAACACTGGAGGAAACATGTTTGTAAAGATGCTCTCAGACATTCCAGATTGAGAATTACATCACCTGCTTATAATTTTAATATTTGTAGTTCACCTGGTTGCTACAGTTCATTAAAACAAAGTGACATTTTGGGTTTACATCAAGGACAATGTATAATCCAGTCTGACATGTAGCTCTCAGCTTCTAAATAAAGACAACACAGACATGCAGTGAGATAATATAAAACATCCAGGTAAAGACAGACATGGGGCTTCAGAGTGACTTATTGCACTAAGTAATGCCAGCGTCATTCATTGACTCTACAGACTTCTGCTGGAGGGAAAATGTGATTGATTAAAAGTGGTGGCTCCTGTTATTTTGCAGCTCTGGCCATATCGGGACTCCTCTGTGATGATTACCATGTCTCAACTTCAAAAAAGGCGTAAATATAATATGTAAGGAATGGCAAAAGAGGAGAAAGTATTTTGTTCACTGTTGTTTAAAACTTAGAATTTTTTTTACTTAATATTTTATTAAAAGTTGTCTTATTTTTAAACTAGAAAGAAAAGAACTTAAAGGCATCACTTTTGTTAAAAAAAGGCATCAGCATGTAATACTACTCAAGTCAGACCATTGGGTGGAATTATACAACAAGTGACCAGAGGGAGGCGCTCTTTTCCTGGGAAAGTAGACACAGCAAAAGTTCAGGGATAAAAGCTGAGGATCACCTCTCAAAGGCAGGGAGGGCACTTATGTTGAATTTCATTATAGTAAACAGCTGTTAATGTTATTACGTCCACCCCCTGTATACTGGCTGTAGCTGTTGGGAAATTTTTCTTTGTGTTGTAGCTTATGATTTAACATTCATTTTCAGGCCCAACATTCAGACTACAGTTCTGTTGTGATGTTTGTTTTTTCCCTGGCCGAGAACCTTTATGTGTAAATGGTACCAGCATTCAACAACATGTACTACACTTTCTAATATACATCAATATAACATGAAATTTTCTCTCATTTCCAAACAGTAAACACTTTAGGAATCCAGTTTGATCTTGTTTTAACTATCACAATTATTTCCTTCTCCTTTCTTATACTGTAACGGGGATATGGGCAGTTCTCGGTATTTTAGCTGTCTAAAATGCATCGTTTTCGCTTCCTACTTCCTTCTGAAGTTTCCCAGCTGAACACCCCTCCGTCCGCTCACACAGCGAAAGGTGGCCGGCTGGATGTCCCAGTATTTAACAGGATTGGCAAACAGACTGATGCCTGTGTACAGGTTCTTCTTAGCGCTGGGTGTGATGGGGCAGAAGTCGTTGACTCCCACACTGGTGATTTTGTTGCCATGGAGGTAAATCACCTAAACAGACAGAGAAGATTAGTTAAGTTTTTCTGCTCTGTCAGTAACAAACCATGATTGGGAGTTCTGTTCTCATGCTGCTTAAGTTTTACATTGGAAACTCAAAGTCCAACCAGAAAAGACAGACTGGAACGAGTTACAAGTTGGAAAGTGGGACATCATTTTATAGCTCCAGGTTGCTGAGTAGAAGGAAACTGATGTATTTGAGATGACTGAAATGTTTTACAGTAACTATGCTTCAGCTACACTGTTAGATTTGGAGTAAAAAGTGTAGTTATCATGTGAGGGTAAGACTGAGGTCGACAGGTGGATTGATACAGCATCAGCAGTGATGTAGGCGCTGGACCAGACATAAAAGGAACTGAGCTGTATGAAAAACTTTGGGTAGCAACCAAAAGAATGACATGATGGATACAAGCAGCTGAAATTAGTTTTCTCTGCAGAGTCAAGGTGAGGCGCTCAGCCATCTGGAGGGAACAGCTGCGTCTTTGCAGTGAGATCAAGATTGATTAAGAGGAGTCACTTGAGCAGAGATATTGGATAAAGTGAGATACCCAACTCAGCTCACTTCCTAATTCAGTGACCTCAGCACCACGCCCCCGTAGGAGACTTGCGGCAGCTCTGAATGTATTGTCGTCAATGAGGAAAATGAACGTGATCACAATTTATGGTCAATTCTTTCACCCTATAGTCACTAAAGTAAATATTGGGTTCATTTTCCACAAGCCACACATCTTACCAACATTCTGACACTAAAGCTGCATTTTTCATCCGCACAGATCAAGAGGAAGTTAACTTTGTTTGAGCCCTGTCCGTCTCAGAAAACAAGTTCTCGCGAGATCTCATGATCTTGATAAACAGGCGGTAAAATCACAGTTAGCTTACAAACAGTTATTTACCGCTTGTAATAAATAAAAAATGCCCAAGCTTTGTGCAGCAATAGGCTGCAATAATAGGAAGAATGTATTTTCATTCCACCTGCTTCTCGATCCGCATACACAGACATCCACAGAGCCTCTGTTCAACACGAGGTGGGGGGGGGGACAGGCTCTGATTGGAGGGAGAGCTTACCACGCCCACTTAGGAGACAGGAAGAGTAACCGTTTTCTTAACATTGGATAAGCCTATGGTGGGGTATCTCTTTTATCCAATATCTCTGACTTGAGTTGGGTCAGTCATGTGATCTGGATGCCTCCCTGTGGAGGCTTTTTGGGCATGTGCATAGGGACCTCAGGATACTTTAGGATGAGCTGGAAGATACGGCCTGGGAGAAGGAGGTCGGGCTGAGTACCTTATTTAGCCTCCTGCTACAACTTTTGAAATTCTAGGTCCAGGCGCATTGACAGCACGCAGCATCTCTGGAGTCTTGCCCTCGTAGTGGGGCCGCCAGCTTTGAGATCTGTCCTAACACTAATGTCAACTAAACCCAGCTGACATTATCAGCATGGTTATGTGCACTTTAGTCGGCTGATACTGATACCTGGAGGTAGCGCAAGGTGTTGAGGCTCGGTGGGACCTTTTTCAGACGGTTGTTGTCCAGGTGGATCTCACGGACGTTTGGGATGCTGGCAAGGCTGCCATTTTCTACATACTTGATCTGGTTAAAACCGAGTCCTAGCCTGCAAAAATGACACAACATCGTTAACAGGTGCAGAATATCTACTTCAATAAAGATCAGCTCTGCAGAAATGAAGTGACAAAAACAGATTTACACATCAAATTAACAAACATACCTGTATTTAAACTTCACATTCTCACTTGCACATAAACAGAGCCACCGCATGATGATAGAGATAAAAATAAGTAAACATCTGAATTGTAGATGTAAAAGTTACCTGGCAGCTTAAAGGACACAAATAATGTTATATGAAATCTTAATATTAACAAAAACAAAGACAAACACAACATTCAAATGGGAGTTTTGAAGAGTGATTGATTTGAACAGCCTGTTAAATCTCAGTTTCTGGAGTAAAATGTTTCTGTTTTTCACCTCTGCAGATTTTTATATCTGATGAAGTCTTCTATTTCCACTTTAGCGATCTTGTTGTAGTCCAGGCTCAGCTCTGTGAGAGAGGATGGGAGGTCTGGGAGAAACAAAACATACCAAACATAACTAAAACGTTGTTACTTCCTTAAATGACAACTTGAAAAAAAAAACTTAAACTTAAATCAAAGCATCATATTAACAAATGTTAACCGTGTTTTTGCCTCATTCAGTTGTACACTTGAGGTCCAGTGTAGTAATATTGTAGGTAGGTTACTGGAGGAGAAAGAAGAGTGCACTATTTATTTGATGAAATGAGCATAACATGAGGTGAGTGATATTCTACCTTTTGGTACAGCGGTTAGTTTGGCCTCTGCTATACCGATATAAAGGGTCGACAAGCCGTTGAAAGCTCCCAGTGCAATCCCACTGTTGGCCAGAGGGTTGGCGCCCAGCTCTGTTGGGACAAGCACAGAACATCTGGTGTATTTATTAATGATCCATTATATCTCTGATTACATCAGTTCGAGGACCTGTTGGCCCTGGATAAGCCTGCAGTTTACCACTCAAAACAGCGTAGCAGTTTATTCAACCCTTCTCTGGTTAAAGCACTGTTAAATCAGTTAGATGAACCGTTGCAGCATTTGGGTTGAACAGAAACCTGCAGACTTCTCCTTGGCAAAGGACACTCCTGGCCTTTGAGAACACTGATTATTGCTTATCTGAAACAGGGAGCTGGATTACCCAGCACATGCAGCTTCCTCAGGCCTTTAAACGCATCCTTCTGGATTCTGTTGATCTTGTTTTCATGGAAGCGGAGCTCGACAACGTTGGGAGGCAGGTTGGCAGGGATCTCAGTCAGCAGGTTGTAGGAGAGGTACAGCAGTCTGAGATGGGCCATGTTTCTGAAGGCCTTGGGGTGAATCTTGGAGATCTTGTTGTTGATCAGAAACAGGCCCTGGTGGAGGAGAGAGGAATCTTTCTAAAATATAGTAGGTCCATATATCGGAGGAGGTTTGTTTGACATTTTCAACAAATCAAAGACACTTATGTTTTTTTGCTTTGAACATACTTTGGTTTCTTTATTTTGACTCAGAATTAGAATTTGATTTAAACTGTAAACAATGGACTGAATCAAAACGGATAAAAATGTAAACAAAACTCAACTCTGTTCAGGTTCAGGTCAGTTTCACTATTCAACACTCAACTGTATTAGCACAAAGCTGCAGATTGTTCTCACTGTTTGCTTTGATAGAACACAGTGTAATCCAGAGTTTAGGGCCTTGATGTGGTTTACTCTCAGCTGGGAAAACAACAACTAGATCAAAGACAGACCCGCTGTTAGTGCCCCTGCCCCTTAACTGGGAGCCTCATCCAGAGGGACTGTAATCTCATCAGGCTGCAGGCTACATTTAGACTGATATTACCGAGCTGTGTCCTCTTATCTGTTAACTTTAACAGCTACAAGCTGGTTTTGTCATTCACGTATCTTGAGTCTAAATGTGACCCATTTAAGGTTCTGAACCAAATCAACTCATTTTGTAGATGGAAGCAGTTAGAGGTCACTGGTTGAACACTGGAACTGATGTCTTGCTCTGAAAGTACTTAAAACAAATGGTGGATATGAATGTGCTTTTTTCTGTTTCTGAAATGTCTGCAATCTATTTTGTTGTTTTTGGTTCTAGAGAGTGTTTCCACCGTCATGAAATTCTTAGAGAAGGCCTGGAAATGGTTTGGAATTTGAAGAGTGTTTTAGATATGTTTTGAATATACATGGTTTTGTCTATTGTTCAAATTCTGTTCATGAAAATCCCAAAACATCTCTAATGTGATGCAAAATTCGTTCCTTTTATTACTTAAAATCTAGTGCCATGCATCACTAGTATCACGTGATGAACATTAGAGTATGTAGCTAGTTGGTGGCAGGAATGTTTGATGCGCAAGCAAAGTCAGCAAGCCCTAGCTCTCTTATTTGTAAATGCCTGGGAAGTGTGTGTTTAATAATGTAAGGCTTTAAAATTACAAATATAATACATTACTCAAGAGAGAGACAAACCCGAGCCACACTAGATGTAGGCTCTGTACCAAAGCATTTGACACTGGCAATACTGGGGAAGCTGCTCTGGTCAGCCTTGAGGAAGGGAAAAAGCATCAAGACAACCAAAAGGCAGCTGCAGACACACTGCTAGCAGTGGCACACATTTCATGTCTGCCATAGCCAGGCCAGATAACATTAGTGCTTTGTGTGTGCTGTATGTGAAGACACAAAGGCCTTTACATTCCATATTGCATGCTGCTTTTTTGCTACAGTGCCTGTCTTAGGGGAAACAGTACACTGAAGTAGGAGCCTCATTATTGCACTCTATTATCACTATAGACCTACCTATTCTACACTAAAGAAAGTCATGGAAACGGGGTTAAAAATTCTAGAAAAGTTTTGAAAATTCTTTGGACAAAGTGTTTGGGAACCTGGTCTAGAAATACTTATGTTAGGTCTAGAAAATATAAATGATATAATAATTGCAATTTTTATACAGTTTTTTTTTATACAATTTTATACAATGTTGAATCAACTCACAGATTTTAAAAATAGATTTTTGTACATTGTTGATAACAGTATTTGTTCGGACAAAGTTTTGTACTCTGACAGCGTAATGGCTCGTAATGCTTCAAGCATATTTTCTTACAAATGGACACTTGTTTGTCTATTTTATGTGCAGAACTACAGGGATTGTATGGTGAGCTGAGATACACTCAATCCTCCATCTGAACGCATCCTGTGTGGACACTGACAGAGAAATGAAGCAAAAACTTGGTCCTGGTCGGGAAAAAATCATGTTTGGGCTCAAAACACCCGGTTTTGGTGCCACAATCATGGTCGGACAATCATGCTTTCCACCAGTGTCTCGCTAAAATACAGTAATACAGTCGTCTGCAGTGCTCTGCAGCTGGGCAGCCTTTGCACCTAGGTGTTACGCCATTCACCATCCCCTGCACCTCCTAATGAGAAACTCAGCTCAAACATTTAGTCAGAACAACCTCACTGTTGATATGACACATATAAAACGTGCAAATGTAACGTATCCGCTCTTTGCAGAAACATACGCCAGCATTTTCCTCTGGCAATTGTGCTGTGTATGTGGTCAAGATTTTCTTGTTTTATAATACTTGTTTTGCACTGGTCAAATTTAGCAAAGTGGAACTGAAGTGTGCTGATGTGTGAACACCAGTTGTTTGTCCCAGCTGTAGTTTTAATAGGAAGCGGAGAGATTGGTTCTCCTAATCATCCAAAGGATTAGATCATAACAAATGTACAGACTGATAGAGTACACAGTTATTCACGACATCTCCTGCAGCACATGTCTGGCTCAGGTGCATCCAGGAGATGTGACTGGAACAGACTCAGATGGATTGATGTTATTGTTTACTTTTCTCAGAAGTGTCTGATGTTTAGGTCTGTTTAATGTTAACAGGAAGGGTCTGTGGTGTTGATTAGTGTGTGCAGGGCGAAACAGTTCTGAAGGTTTCTCTCACATGAAGCTTGTGGAGGCCTTTAAAGTCGTTCTCCTTGATCTCAGTGATATCATTGTTTTGGAGGTCTAGCAACACAGTGTCCTCAGGAATCTTCTCAGGAACAGAAATCTGACCTGTTGGCAGAAACACAAATGTCTGAATGAAGACCAGAGTTGGACCAAAAGCGATGAAAATCATAGTTCATTCGGGTTGCGGTGAAATACAGGTTTCAAGGTATACTGTTACATGAAAATAGACAGTTATCATACTGTGAACATTTGCTTATTTACCTAATTGAAAAAAGTGAAACTGGATGGATCATCTCACCTTTATTTTAATTATTTTCAAAAGGGAGACTTTTTACACTTACTTTAATTTAAAAAATGGTGTCAAGTTTCAATCATAGTAATATAACGTTCATTCAACCAAAAAAAAAAAAAACAGCTTCTTTTCTTTTCTTTTAAGGGTCATTCTGATTGATAACAACAATAATTCTGTAATATTGTCATACTGTGAAACCGCATTATTTTCTGTGACAGTTATTGTACCATGGAAATCTAATCATAGCAACCCTAGAGCTCATCCAGCACCTGTGTGTTACATATAAAATAGAGATATAGGCCTACATGTGAAGAAGTTATTGTGGTCTTTTTGACTCAAACTCTGTCAACTCAGTTTACTAAACTCTGATGCAAGATAAATGAATCAGCATTTTAAACATTCACTTTGTCACAGATAGAATATTAGTCAGGTGGTTGAGTTTAAGATCATTTGCATAGCCCAGGCACCAGAAGAAAATGTTGGCATTGTATGTTTCTGCAAACCACCAACACGTTGCATTTGTACATTTCATACGTACATATCAACTTTTCGAAAGTGACGTAGTATATGAGCTGACTTTGTTATCAGGAGGTGGAAGGGATTGTGGATTGTGAAAACTGCAGCTTTTTAGCTACCAAGCAGGGTTTTTTAGTAGCCCATCACTGTTTCCAACAGGGATAGTGCCACAAAAAGCACTTGTGGTCTTTTTACCAAGACATTGCTGTGTTTCTAGTCATGATTATGCCACAAAAGCAGTATTTTAAGCAGAAGCATGATCTTTTCTTAATCATAATCAAGTGGTTTTGCGCTTAAACCTTCCCACATGTTAACCACAGCGTTGTTGAAATGTAAAGAAACATAAAGTTCCAATCTATCCACTACATAATAACCTACAAATGTAATGTATCTGCGGTTTGCAGAAATGCACAATGGCAACATTTATTCTGGCAACTGGGTTGCATTTATTAAGAGTATTTCAGTGCAGAGAGACAGACTGCTGTTATTGGTTTCAGTCTTTTCATGGGGTTTGTAGACGAGAAGAAAAAATGTAGAATAACACCAAACTTACACTGTTATCATAAAATGATGAACTTCACATATGATTTATAATTAAATAAAAGAACATGTCTTTATATCAGTATCCATGAATGTAGCTCAGGGTGTTTTTCAGTGTGCCGTGTTTACAGTAGTGTGGATCCATACTGTGTGTTCTCACCCTGGTCTGAACACTGCACCACTCTGGGTGAGCAATGACAACCGGCCGGACAGTTCTCATCTTCATAATCATCATCATCATCATCATCGTCATCTTCATCACTTGCATCAGCCATCATGATGTCAGTGTTTTTCAAGAAGTCCATGACATTGATTGGCTGGTAGGGTTTGGCGTTGCCTAGCGCCAGCAGGCAGAGCAGGAGGAAGATCCTCATGGTTTAATTAGGAGACTGGTCAGTGGGAGAGCTGTGGGAGAAGACAGAGGTTAGGTTAGCTCTTAAACTAAGAGACAGGACTAGACTGTGATGTCATGGCACTGAGGAAATGACCTGTCCAAGCAGTGGAATACTTTTTTTATTTGTTTGTTTTTCCTGCAGTTTTATTCCAGCATCAACAGAACAGAGATGCAGAATCCTGTAGTTAACCTCAGCTCAGACTGTTCAGATGAATGAACCACTGTGATGGTATTTACAAGGGAAGATTCTGTCATAATTCCAGTTTCAATAGTTGTGACTTACAGTGGCACTTTTAGAAGTGCAAAGCATGTAGAAGCTGGTCACCTTTGATATGTCATCTTGTAAAAAGCATATTGATTTAAGAGGTCTTTGTAAAAAAAAATGTTCAGCAGTACAACAGGCCTAAGCCCGATCTGATTACACTGAATATAATTTGAAACACAGACAGACTGTAGTTTCCAGTCAGTCTTGTTTAGTAGGAGCCAAGTGGACCTGTGAAGCCCTCTTTATGGTGTACTCATGTCCCATGTCCAAAACATATACTCACAGCGCCATTTAAATTCACCTTCACATAAGAGGTGCCCTACTCCATCATGGAGTCTGGCCTTGATGGGGTCATAAGATACACCCTAGGGATTACAAGAGGATAAACCAGGTTGTATAGAAAGACAAAACATAGTTGTGCTACACACTAACGTCTTTTTGGTGCTGTTGCTTTACATACCGATTGGATTCACCTCCATTGGCCCCTGATAATCATTTAAATGCATTAATCTGATATTCACTGTCGACTGTAAGCTATTTTTAGAGAGGAGGGTTTGTTACATCAGAAAATTCCTAAATCCACCCTCAGCAAGTTTTTGTATAAAGTCCTCCCTAAGTTCTTACTAACTACTACTACTACTACTAACTAGTTTCAAACTAGTGATTTGTTTTCACATTCAAAACTGTCTTAGCTGGTTAAGTGATGTAATTACTGATGTCTAAATTGTTTGCTCAGAAATATTGCCATCACTGTCCAGTCAAATGCAACCAACTATTTCAACAGGTCACCATATCCAAAGCTGTAACTTGCCTGCCAATATTCTTTTGAGAAACTGCTGCCTCATACTGTATCTCACAGAACGCCTTAAGGCAGCACAACACAGATGTTATTAACAACAGTAACTAACTCCCAACTTAACTCCCTCTAGTATTCTTCATTTAAGTCCTTATATAATACTCACATTTCAACACCTTTCGTCGCTTACACTGTATTGTGCATCCTTAATCCCATTTCTATTATCCCACCTCTTCACACTCCTTCAGCTGCTCCTTCATTTAAAGTTAAAGCAGGAATGCTGTTCAGCTTCCAGCTCTTCATTAAGCAATATGGCTTAGCTTTTTAGCAGGAAGTAACCCCACCACGCTGTCTGCAGAGACTGCACCCTCTAGTTATTACTGATGTATGTGATCAGTACTTTAAAGTTGTAGTTAGTTGAGGTGGAGCTGATATTAACTATATCATTACCTTTGGCTTGCTTAATCTATAATAATGCATTATATTTTAGGAACTGATCACATGTTTTGTATTATAAAATCATATTCTGAAAAGTACTCAGATATTGTGGTCAGAAGTACAATATTATAATGTAGTAGAAGAACAAAGTAGTGTTAAATGAAAATACTCAAGTAAAGGAAAAGAACTTCAAAGTTGTACTTAAGTACAGTACTGGAATATACATTTTATCACTGGTGGTTACAATAGTAACATAATACAAGCATATATATATGCACAGTAGCTGATTTTCCTAGAGTGCTTTAGTAGAGTTGGTGGCAGCCACCACTTTAGATTATTGGAGCCAAACTGTGTAAAAGCTGTAGTAATCGTTATCTTCCCCAGTGCTACTGTCACCTCGGATCCACTGAAACTGTTTTTAGTGCTCCAGTGGAGTTTCATTTTCACAGCCTCAGGTCAGTCTGATTTGGGAACATATTGCTAAAACAGTGCATGGTGAAAGGGCACGCAGAGTTCCTGTGATCAGTTTCAGTAAGTGCTGCTGTTTTTTCTATCAGTGTTTCCATGAAGCTCTGAAAACCTCCACTGGAAACCAGTTCTTGCAGCCAACATAAATGTTTCTCCAGCTCTCACCTATTCAGCATCTGTGGTGATTCACAAAATGATTTATATATCTTCCTCTATTACACATTCACACAGCCAGCAGAGAGAGGCCGAGGTCGTCTGGTTGCGTGCCTCCGGTAATCTTGATGGATTCTGAGTCCTTGAGTTGAGCAGTCAGTCCTCCCACAAAAATGTGGTGGTGGTCGAGCATCCTGCTGCGACAGCAAATACTGCTCAGCGCAGACCCTTCCTCTGCACCCAGACTGTCGTTTGTTCCACATGTGCACATTTAGCACAAAAGAGACTGTTTTCTTGATGTTTGTTTTGCAGCTTGGTGGGTTTTTGCTTTAACAACTTGGCAGTGAGTCGGAGATATTTATCTTGTTTATTGGGATTTTATGTCAGTTAATCAAACAAACCTTGAAAACCAATCCAATAATTCTCACTTCACTCCAGTTAGGCTGATGAAGGTGCAGTGAAGTGCTTTTGTTTAAGTATGAATAATAGTCGATTCTCTTGAGGTTTGCATTTCATAAAACATCCAAACTAGAGGCTCGTCACCAGCTTGTATCCCCATCTGATCCCATCAGGACTCACATACAGTGTGTTGTTGCAACTGGTGGTAATTTTCATCATCAAATAATCTGTCAATTATTGTTCTGATTATTGGTTTAATCATCAAGCCTGTAAAATATCAGAAAATAGTGAAACATTTCCATCCCAGTTAAACAGAGTTCAAGTTGACATGTATTGTTAATGTCCAACCAACAAACCAAAACCCAAATATATTCAGTTTACAAAATTAAGCAGAATTAAGCAGAAAGAAACTGTATTGGGGAAGCTGGAAGCAGAGAATATTTTGCATGTTGAAAATGTCTCCTTTAAAATTAAAAACTATTTTATAACTGACAATTACAGCTGGCTAATTTTCTGTTGCTCAACAATGAGATTCATTTTTTTCAACACTCATACTAGTGTAAGATCTGTCTGCTTTACACAAATTTATTTAAATTTGAGGTGATTCAGACAGATTTTCCTCATGCGTTTGTATTTACAGTTCATAATGACTGTATTCCATGAAAAATTACTTTGTATCTTTGTTAAATGAGATCTACTTCAACAAAACTTTGAGGCAAAGAACACATGAAAGACCAAAACATTCAATATAAAACCCAACTATTAATCATCCTCCTTTTAGAATTTGCTCATTTGATATAGTTCACTTCAAACATCCAGAGACTTATAAACATTCCTGTAAATTGATCTTGTTGTGCTCCAAAATTTACATGCAACTTAAACTCACTCAGTAATATATAAATTTGAAATATTTTCTAATAAAATTCAACAGTTTTTCCTGCAAACAGACCCAGAACAGCTGGTAAAAATAAGGATTTTCAGACTAAGATCTGCAGCCTACTCCTGTTGCTCCACTAAAACACCTCCTCCACCTTTCAGGCATTCTTGTAAACAGATCTAAACTGACTTCAGAGATGCTGCATTCTCTGAAATTAACACATGTCAGATCAACTAATTAAGATCTTAAAAAAGATTAGGTATTTTTGTTTTGATAATAAATCCAGGGTGTGTCCTACCTCAGCCGTCAGGTGTGTCTGTGTCCTGGTTTAAACCCCACGCTGTGTGCAGAGCAGCAGCAGGGTCCAGCTGGAAGGCTGAGAGTTGGATCCTCAGTCAATACATTCCCAGTGAACAGAGAACAGCATCACCCTCTCTCACCAGAAGTAAAAAAAAAAAAAAACTGCCCCCAGAACACCCCCACCGACGGAAAACCACTGCTGTTAGGGTGAGAGGTTCAGTTTCAGTGAGGAGCTCTTGACTCTCTCAGTGATCACACCATCTGCACATCTCTGGGACTACATTTGGAAAGGCATTGTTAGGATTTTAGTCATGTGCTTTTCATCAGGAGCTTTGAAGTGATGCCAGGATCGTTAGCTTCAAGTCTTTATATAGAACATACTGGTAGGTCTGTCAACTCCCCTCCCTTAATGGCCCACTGCCATATTAAATATTTTACATCAACTTGAATGGTTCCTACACTAAGGCCTGTTGGCATCAGGTTAAACAAGGAAAGTGGGACTGTACATCTGCTGTAGCTGTTTGGGTTTTCTTAGTGAAACATCAACATTTAGGATGGAGGTGAGCCGAACCTCCTGGGGATATTTTAGGATGATGCCATCTGAATTCCTGCATCAGGCTGCTTCATAGTACCAACCTGCCCAAACAAAGAGCCGAGGCTGCCATGTTAATCTACAGATAAAGATCTGTGAAGTGATCAGCAGGAGGAGGAGGTTTGAGATGTTGTGATGCTTGTCATCAGGTAGCAGCGGATCTTAAGGGTTAACAAGACAGGATGATGAATCTGTCTCTTTTACAGTTTTCCCCAGAAATTATTGTGCAAAACTACATTCTTTGTTAAAATGTAAGATACAAAGACACTGCAACACTTTTCAGAATAGAAATATGGACTTTTCAAGACTTTATCCAAAATCCAGTTTTTCTTTCTTTCTTTCTTTTTTTTTTTTCATTCATTCATTTTTCGTAACCACTTATCCTGTGAGGGGTCGCAGGGAAGCTAGAGCCTATCCCAGCTGACATTGGCCGGGAGGCAGGGTACACCCTGGACAGGTCTCCAGACTATCACAGGGCTGACACATAGATAGAGACAATCACATTCACACCTACGGACAATTCAGAGTCACCAATTAACCTGCATTTCTTTGGACTGTGGGTGGAAGCTGGAGTACCTGGAGGAAACCCACACTGACACAGGGAGAACATGCAAACTCCCCCACCCATGGACCGCAGAACGCATCTGAACAAGGGGGGGCCATAATTTCAAGTCACACGGAGGGGGTGGGGGGGCATATGCATTGAAACAGACAATATTACTGATGTATTAAATAATGTTGTGGAGCACTTATTTTTATTCCGACGCTACACAGTCACATCTACAGTACACGCATGAACACGAACACATGCTTGCTCAGATTAACCCCTCTGATCCCACTGACACATACACACACAACAGGCCAAGCCTATTTACACATAAACACACAGATGAAACTATAGCAAACAACAAAGTACATCCAGTCCACAACCACAACCAAAACTCATCTTGCTGCCTTGAATCTAAATCAACATCATATTCATTATCATCAAAAGTCAGCACTCATATCAGACTGATGTGCAGAGCCACACACACACACACACACACACACACACCCAACAACAAAACAAGCGCAGCTGCGCAGTTACTGAAAAGTAACCAGAACGCTGAATTTCTGACCATTACCAACCGCAATGTGTATGTCCACTCCCGCCCGCTCCCGCAAAACTCTTAGAATTTATGCCTGCACAATAATAGTAATAATAATTTCTCCCTTCCCGCAGGAGAAAACACGTCATTTTATAGGCTATTAATAAAGAGATTCATGGGGTTGTTTGTTTCGTTTCCCTGGTCTGCATGTCTTTTGACGCACTGGTCAGGAATAGCGCTCCTATTTTGTTGTTTTCATTTAGTTTTTAATGATATAAAGGCTGTTTCATATTCTATTCTCCTCCTCTGTATTTATTTATTTTTCTACCTTTATATAATCACGCAGTGATTGAGGTTAAGGCAAGCCCGGTGCCAGGATGAAGTTACTGAGGGGCCGGTTAAAAATTACGAGGGGGCAAATCTTTATTATGCAACATAGGTTCACACAGTGAGTTATAAAGAACGCACAGCTGTGCGTAATAGTCACGCGTAATGACAGCTCGTCGCCGGTGAAACACAATAAACTGCACGTCTTCTTTCATGTTTGTCTCATGACAGATGGAGCTGACTGACAGACAGACAGACAGACAGACAGACAGACAGGTGGAGCAAGCGGCAAATTGGTATGAAAGCTGGTTCAGGGCATATTCGTCCATTTATGAATAAATATGGAGTGGAAACGCTCATGCATGTGCACCAAGTTCCTGTGTTGACATCCTGTCACTAGGCTACATCTTCTTCTTCTTCTTTTTCTTTTTCTGACCCACGGGACCCGGCGGGACCCAATCCCAATGCAGCCCTCTATGTCAGAGTACAAAAGTTACCCGGGCCATGGCACCCCTGGCCCCCCTGGTTCCGCGGTCTATGCCCCCACCCCAGGTTCAAACCAGGAACCCTCTTGCTGTGATGTGACAGCATCCTACATAAGCCTATTTTCTCATGTTCCCTTGTATGTAAATGTTCTGGCCTATTCAATAGAGCATGTTGGTCTAATGTCTCAATGAGCGGGCCATGTAACTTTTACACAAGAGTCTCTATGGGCCAGGGTCTGACCTGTAACATTTATGTTATACTTCCATCACAGCTCAAATCTAAAATTTTGCTGAAACTGTCACTACACTCACACAGTAGAACATGAGACAGTCTGTGAAAAAAATAATTTCCCTCCTCCCACTCGTTAGGCTTCTAATGGCATTTTCTAGAGTCCACCGTGGCTCACTGAAAACCAATCGGAGCCGAGGAGTCTCCCAAGCAGCTGTCAGTTACTGCTCGTAAAATTCGGTAAGACTCTGCAACGCTAATCAAATATGAATCAAGACTCCATAACTGCATTGCCTATTTCTTGCCTCAAATGTTGTCAGACACATATTTTATATTAGGATATTTTAGTGTGTGGTTTAGCTGTAAAATGGGAACCTCAGCTCGCCTGTATCCAACATGGTAGCCGGACAACAAACTTTCTCATGTTACAGCTAGATATTACACTGAAATATGTTTCTGAAAACATTTGAGGTGAGAAATAGGCAATGCAGTTACTGAATCTTGGTTTCTATTTGATCAGCGCTGCCTAGCTTGACAGTTTTACACAGTTCACGAGCAGTAATTGACATGATTGACAGCTGTGTGAGAGACTCCTCAGCTCTGACTGTTTATTGTTTTCATCATAAAAGTTACCAACTGCAGCTTTAATTAAGAACAGTTAATACATATGGTGCTAAAACAGTTTGTTAATTGATCTTTTTTTTTTTGCCATTTTTTATAATTTAAAAACCTAATATTTGAGATTAGGTTGTTGATAAAACACAAACCTAAAATGACTTCATCTTGTTCTCTTGGATCTTTTGTTGGATGGTTTCACTGTTTTCTGACATTTTAAAGACAAAATGATTTTTTTAAGTAATCAAAGAGATGTTACTTGCAGCCCAAAATAAATGTATCACTCAATTATCATGTCTTGCACACCAAAAAATATTGCTGTGCAACTGCAGCCCTCCTTCCCTGCAGTTTCAGTTTTATTCATGCCAGCTGCATGGATAAAATTATGGATATGATGATAAATAGTGGCATGCATAACTCCAAAAGACTAACAATATGTAGAGGGGTACAATTGTGGTGAGGGTCCAAAAACAACAGAACGTTAGCACTCAAAGATTAACTGACGTTGTGACGCTGATGACGGCTTTGTAGCTGCAACAAAGCTGCAAGTTGATTTATCTGTGAGTGCCAGTGTTTTGTTTGTTTTAAAATGATGGATATACAGCAAACGTTCACACTCATTATGTGCAAATAAGAATTTAATGTGAGTCTCAGCTTTAAGGTTTGTCATGTTTATGTGCTATCAGACATTAACAATGGGCAGCAGAATAAGTTTTAATAACCATCACTGATGGAGCCTGAGAAAGGACTGAGAACACTCTTCTTCTTTGGTATCGTTTTCCAATTTTCCTTAGTTCTTCAGCAGTGACAGTTTTCCATGTGTGGACCAGTGGCCAAAAACAGTATCACTGAGCTCCGTGGATGTTTCTGTAATGGTCTTGTCATGTCAGAGAGAAGCTGTGAGGAACCATTGCGTAACAAGCACCTTCAGTATGTCTAGACAAAAAGAGACTACTTAAGTTACCTACTTAAGCCAACAAAGGCTTATTCTGTTGTTTCATTTATAAAAGAAAATCTTTAAACCAAAGTAGGAGCAACTTGCATTATTTGTCCCTACAGGCAATGTTTAAAAAGCAGTCTGCAATGCTGAATGACTTGTTAAGATGGATCAGTCTTCAGTAGTGTAGTCTGCTGACTTAAGGTGGCACAAGTTACCATCAGAGTCAGTGAGAAGCAGCAGCTTTCTCTTGTGTAATTATAGATTTCCTCCTTAATTTGAAAGCAGAGACAGAAGGGAACCGGAGGTGATGCTCTGCAACATCCAGTCCGCATGATTTGCTCTTTGTTGTGTTCTGCATGATGTGTATTTTAACAAGGCACAACAGGAAAGCCCAAAGCTTTGTTTAAGGCAGAAATGAGAAATACCTCCCAAGAATGGAAAAGCTAACGGGAGCTTGCTCCCTCAGGGCTTCACGTGTTATACTATTCCTTTTTCCATTCAGTGCTGGTACTTTCTGCTGAGCTGAGCTGGAACTAAACTCTGAGGCACAACTTACGGCAGAGCCAGACCATCCAAATATGCCCTGGTTTGGCAGTCGGACAAACCAAAATGGGAGCGTGGGTCTGTGTTCTGGTTTCAATGCATCTTCTTGGTAGGGAGACCATATTTTCCAATCCATCAGAGATCTGGTTAAATGATTATCTCATCAAATGGAGCCTGTTGAACATGTGAGCGTTCACTACTCTCTGAAGGAAATTCGTAACCTTAAAAGATTTTAAGAAAATGTATCTTTTGTTTTTCCTACCAGTAGTTTCTGACTTTCCCAGAAAACTGATTTAGATCTCACAAACAACAAGGCTATCACTCTTCTGCCCTGTTTACTCTGCCATAGCTTTAAGGCATTGGCATTTTTCATCATCGTAAATAGGGCATCCTGCTGGTCTGCGGGTTCAGGGTCCTGACCGT